AAGTCAACTCATTCAATTCAAAAACCAAGTCAAACACTCACATCCCTCATTATGGACGAGATTGCACTTATTTTGGTTGACTTTCCATGTTCTTAGCCTTTCATTTGCTTGTCTTTTCATTTCTTGTAAGTCATGTCTTTTCATTTACAAGTCTTTTCGTTTCTTGTAAGTTACAAGTCTTTTCATTTGCTTAAGACTTTTCATATGGCTTGCTAGGATGGCTATATATAACCTGGAGATGTCTTGTTGTAAACACAATTTTGAAGTTGAATGAAAAGTGAGTTTTCTCATTAGCTTGGTTGAGAGCTTTATCTCCCATTTCTTGTGCAATTTCTTGTGTCTTTAGAATTTGCATGTTAGGATCATTCAAGCGGTGTTGATCATACCTCTTGTGGAGTGATTCGAATCACGAGTTTAGAAACAAGTTTTCTCTACTCTTGATATTGATCATCAAGGTAATCCGTTCTAAAACTTTTCCTTGGGTTGATTCCATACTTGTTTTCGGGGTTTCTGGGATTGAGTTCTATGGGTCTTGTTCGTTAACAAGGTTCTTAGATCCAACTCTCAAGGGTTTCTTAACATTTTGGTATCAGAGAGTTGAGAGTTGGTCCAACCTCTCTGATACCAAAATGTTAAGGAACCCTTGAGAGTTGGATCTAAGAACCTTGTTAACGAACAAGACCCATATGAAAAGTCTTAAGCAAATGAAAAGACTTGTAACTTACAAGAAATGAAAAGACTTGTAAATGAAAAGACATGACTTACAAGAAATGAAAAGACAAGCAAATGAAAGGTTAAGAACATGGAAAGTCAACCAAAATAAGTGCAATCTCGTCCATAATGAGGGATGTGAGTGTTTGACTTGGTTTTTGAATTGAATGAGTTGACTTTSACTTGTCTTSATGRAGTTGACTTTGACCTTGACCAAGTRGACTTTGACTTGCCTTAAAAACACTTAAAAATGCATAACTTGCACCAAATTGAAGTGCATAGTTCCAACTTCTTGCACATCTTCCWTTTAATTCTCGTGTCGAGTTCACGAACGCTTGGACACGAAGTAGTAAGGCTTGTTGAAGTTTTCGAGCTCTTGATCTTGTAATTGGTCCATGAGGCATGACGAAGACAGCTCCTTGGTTCATATCAGGGGCTCTGGGTAAAAATGGTCAGGGGCCGACTCTACTCGAAGGAGTTAGCTGTGGAAGGCTAGGATAGCTGTGATAAGCGTAGAGGTGCTTGAGATGTTAGGGAGACTCGAGGTTGGTAACTAATTTGTTCATGGTTGTGGTTGTCGCCGAATATTATAGAGTGTGTTTATGTTTGATTGCATAATGTGATGAAGAGCATGACTATGAATGTTTCATGATTTTGTGTGAGCATGATGTTTGTGTGTTGTTCGTGAGGGCTACTTACGGAGTATATTTTATATACTCACCCCCCCTCTACAATTATTGTTTCTGGTGAAGGATTCGTTGGCGACCATGGTGATGATACGGAGGAGACATGACGAGCGAGGACCATAGGTTGCGTAGTTACTTTTGCTTAGCTTAGGTTTAGATGGTTAAGACCTTACGGTTTGGTCATTAAACTATTTGTTCTTATTTGAATAATTGGGAGGTTCCCACTCGTTGTCTACTTTATTTCGGAACAGCTGTTTATTTTAGTTTTATACCAGTCATTGAGTTTGCCTAGTTGGAACAATAAAGTTGCCTCATGAGGTTGTCCACGGATGATGTTTGATTTATATTCTATAGAGTTGATTCATTGGTAAATTGATGAGGGTTGAAGCTTTATTTTATATAATCATTTCACAGGGAGTTGTCATCTCGTGTTTGGTGTTAAGTTTAGACAGGTGGGTAGTTAACGTGAATTAGAAGTGTGTGGGAAATTCTTAGGGCGTTACAATTGGTATCAGAGCGGAGTTGTTCCTGTAGACTGTCCTAGAATCTAGGTCGATAGTGTATGGTTCTTGTCAATCTCCTCGTCATCACGAGGTATGTTTCCTAGTTCAGTTTGTTAGATCATGAATGTTTTACATTGCTTATGGTTAAGATATCATTGTTGTCTGATATTAGAGAAGTTAGCATGTTTCCTTCGTTCATTATATAGACTTGCTTGAACTTTGCACTTGTGTTGTGCCCCGGTTAGGGCGATAATGACCTTGGTGCTCTGTTCTTTTAGACAATGGCTTTCCGGC